CTCCAACAAATTCAGTTTGTGGGTTTGAGCTACAAATAGTTATTTTTCTATGTTATGTGCAAAAATATTAAAGACTATGATTTCTTGTGCTAAAAGCAGCATGTTGTCCCTATTATTCCTAATAATTTCTCAAATGCAGTATTCTGGTATCTTATTCTTTGGGTAGGCTTGAATTTGGTTATTGAATGGTTGAGAATTGAATGAATGAATGGATGAATAATTTTGTATATACACATGTTATAGGTGGCGCAAAAAATATTACAGAACAAATTATAAAAATTAAATGAGACATTTTGGTAACTAAACAAATATCATAGGTTGGTTTTTGGCCACTAAAATTTTAATCGCCAATTGTTAAAAAGTAAACTTTTTGGCTACTAAACTCTGGTTAGTCGGCAAAGGTTATCTTTTGGCGACTAAAATATTAGTCGCCAAAAGTGAACATTCGGCTACCAAACTCTGAGTAGTCGGGAAAGGATATATTTTTGGCGACTAAATATTTAGTCGCCAAAAGTGTTTTCAGCGACTAAAACTTTTTGTCGGGAATAAGTTTTAGTCACAACATTACTACATTTAGGGACTAAAGAATTTAGTCGCCAAAAATATTATTTTTCATTTTATTAAACTTTTGGCTACTAACCATTTAGTCACTAAAAGTTCTACCTTAGGCATGGTGACTTTTGCCTACTAAAACTGTTCGTAGCCAAAAACCTATTGAGATTCATTTCTTTACTTTTTGCCACCAAAATTTTTAGTCGCCAAATGATACCATTTTTTTCGTGACTAAAAAATTTAGTAGCCAATAGTTTATTTCTCTCATTCTCAAATTTTTTAGCTACTAATTATTTGGTGGCAAAAACGTTTTGGGTTATGTTTTTGCTACTAAATTATTAGTAGCCAAAACTTTTGATTACCTATTTGGCTACCAAAACATTTGGTGGCCAAATAAATTTATTTTTTTTTTAAATTTTTTTTTGTAAACAACCTGTATTCATTTATATTACATGTACCCTGTATAAACAATATAATCCATCAACACTAAAATATATTATCAACCATTAAAGCATTCAACATAATACATGAATAACCATGATTTAAATCCATACATAATACATGAATAACCAATGTCAATAATTTAAATTACAACCTGTAAACATAATACTTTCTATTACATTTGTAATTAATACAGCAATGATACACAAACACCAGAGAAAATCAGACCAGCCACCTACAACGAGGAAGATTAGTGATTTGAAGCAGCTTAATTACGTCCTATAGCACCTAAAGCAAGAGAGATTTAGTCTTCTGTCCAGCTCTGCTCAACAATTTCACGCACCCTCCGGTTGTATTCACGCTTGTTCTCACTAAACAACAATGCTGCTTCTGAATTTGCAGGTGAGTTTGCATTTGGATCACAGAGCATTGACTGAAATGAGAAAAAGGGAAAACCTGCATTTGGGCTTGGGTTTGGGTTTGGATCACAGAGCAATGACTGCAATGAGAAAAATGGGAAAAATCAAAAAACATCATACCTGAACTAGTGACCAGTAGCTTTGTGGAATCAAAACATTCCTAGAAGTTATATCTATTTGGTATGGTAGAGTCATGCTTGAACAATTGACAAACTGCTGAGTTTATTACATGCATTTGCCAGTTTTGCTCATTTATTTATTAGTAAAATGATTGCACAGTATGAATTTAATACACACCACGCATAAACACGTGCCCCAAGTTGTTTTTTTTTTTATGAGCCTGTTAACAATTAATGAAAGGTTGGCCGCTATTTTGCCACACTAAATCCAACGGATAGTGTGCATGGAGTGGCCAACATGGGTTCAATTCTGCTACCTTATGAAAATTTGTTTAAAAAAGAAAAGTAAAAGGTCTGTTAAATAAAGTGGATAGATAGGTATGCACAAACCAATCAACTTTATTTTGCTGCTCTCAAATATTTTTGTATTTCATTCTAGATTTCTCATATTTTATATTACCTACATAGAGGAAAGTGGAAACCATAAAGAAAAAAATAAATAGCACAAGAGCCAAAGGAGATATGTTTTGTGCTAGCATACTCTAAATTGGTTTCAGGCTTGACGCCCTTTTTTCTCAAAATCAACAAACACGAGTCTGTCATACTCCACCAAAAAATTGACAGAAAAAGTTCTTTTGAATAACTCTTTTTCAAGCAAATTAACTACAACAGCTTCAGTTTACCATTTCACTAATCATTCGAAACTAGTATCTTTAAATCAAAATCAAAGGGTGATTTTTTACTACGAGCAATGTCATCTGACCATTCCTAGCAATAGATATTTTTGAACCATATATACACTCCATCATACCTGGATAGATGTCAGTATAGCAGCTATATCATATATTGGACTCCACTGATTTTGTAGAATATCCAGACAAATACTTCCATTTGCATAAACTGGTCCAAGCACAAAACAATAGTATGAGCAACTAGCATAGGCATATATCTTAGTGACATTATGTTTCACCACATAAGAGAGGAAATCAAATATCAAGGAGCAATGAAAAGACACAAAGAAAGCAGGATTCTGTGCAACAAGCTCCAGTGGATATGGCACGAAGTGTAATAGAAGCATGCAAACTAATAAACCCCAAAAAAGTAATAGAAACTTATAAAGACAAGTATAAAGCAATGTTGGCAGTCCTAAGAGGAGTAAACAGTATTGAAGTTAATATTAGTGGCAGAGCATGACTTCTGAGGATGCAGTGGCAGAAACTTACACTTTCCATAACACAACACAATAATCTGCTACCCTCTCAATCAAGAAAGCAAAAGGATTTAATTACTTATGACAAATAGATTTTACGTGAAGCCTTCTATAAACATATCCGTTACCTTCCCACTTCTCAACTTCAAGCACTTAAAGCAAACCAGGCTCAACAACTGCTTTAGTTCGCTCGCATGGGAAGGATGATATACTGGAATTGGTAATTCTATATACCCAAAGTGACTTGAAAGGTAAAAAAAATGAACAAAACTTTAGCAATACTTCAATATGTCCAGCGGTCATGACCATTCAAACTTCTCAATGTAATCAGAAAATAAAAATGATTAAAACATGAAAAATACCTTCGCATGTCCCAGGTTCCGCAGCACCACATGATTCACATTTTCCAAATTCAAGCGGCAAACTAAGGAACGAATTTGAAAGTTGACTAGCATGGCTTATAGGGAAATCACTATTGGATGATGTGCACTAACAAAAAAATAAATAAAAGGAATCATACCAACTTATTCAACCAGAATGGTCACAAGATCCAAAGTTGCACTTAATCAAATGCCAATTGTAGGACAATTTGTTCGGAAGGAGGTTTACATCCATCACAAGATCTAAAATATGTCTCTGGAACAATATTAGGACTCAAATCTTCTAGGGCCCAGTTTTTTTTTTTAAGAATTTTTAAAACTATAAATGAAAAACACATCTGAGAACTGTTTTAGTTTCCAAAAAAAAGACAACAATTTTCAATTTCAAAATCTAAAGAAAAAATATTATTTTCAAAACAATTTTTCATTCCCTATCCCCTGCGTTCCTCCTCCCTCCACTCACTGAACATTTTTTCTTAATCTCATTTTATATTTTTAAAAACATATGTATGATGTACCAAATATTGAGCATTAAGACTCTATTTACATTATCAATTATAACTCATTTCTCAATGATTAATTCAACAATTATGTTGATAGAATATATATAAAACCATCTAAATAATAGAAAACACCTATGACAACCTTACAGAAAATAAACCTACTTTGCTGTCCACATCTCTATGGTTATCAATCATTTCATCCTCTGTTATTAATCTTTCTAATTTTCTCACTTTACAGCAACAACTAACATCTATCCGATCCGAGTTTGGATAGAAAACAAATTAATACAGTTGTTACATAACATAGGTTTAACTAACATAGGTTTTTGCATAGAGAAAAAAGAAAAAGAAAAAAACAATGCCTAGTAGCCTCATTGGGAGCTTAGCTGGTTTCTTGTTCTTCATCATCTAGGAATTGAAAGAAAAATGAGCATATTCTCAATGGTAGTGTAAAGAAAGAACAGAGGAAAGCTTAGCACCTAATTGCATACCAAACATAATAATGAAATGAAGATGTGAACTTGTTCATCTCCTCCAACCTTCTCTTCATTTTTTAGTACATTAGTATTGCTTTTGTTTTGCCTTAAGTGGTGATTACATAGTAGATGTGGCTCAATTATTACGCTACTGAAATTTGAGACTAGTGTTAAAATTTCTTCCCATAACATCTTACACCAAGTTCTTCCCATAAAATGTCTTAACATAACATCTTCAATTGTCCTATATTTGTTAGTTATTTCGTCTTTATTATTTTGAAAACAGTACACATCGCAGTGTAGTCAAAAGATTCACCAATTTGAGCTGTAAATTTCTAGTTAATACCCCGATTAAAAGGTTGCATTTCATGACTCCTAAAAGAGGATCTCTAATGTGTTTGTGGAGAAGCTTGGTCCGAAATGCCACTAGATCCATTTGTCGCCTTATTTATACAATAAAATTCACATGAGTTTGCATAAATTTAGAAAATGATAATATATGATAAATACATCATTTGGATAGTTTCCCCGTGATGATACCAACAATTATAACTCGGACTAATTCCATAGGATACCATGTGATCATGTACAGCTTCTAGGGTCATGTATGAATTCACACATCTCATACATGGACATGAAATTGTCCATCATTAGATACATTGTGAGAAGCAAACTCCAAAATTCTTTAACCCATTGCACATCATCTCTTGACAATCTACTCTTTTTCATCCAACTCTTATCCATTGATTGATAATTAAATAAACTAAAGTACCATAAAATAAAATAAAAAGTTAGACACAGAGAGAGAAACAAAGAGAGAAGAGTGATAAGTGAGAGAGATAAAGAGAAAGAGATAGAGAGAGACATATAGAAAAATAGAGAGAAACAAGCGATGAGAGAGAAATAGACAAATAGACAAGTAGACAGAGAGAGATAGAGAAGAGTAATGAGTGAGAGAGAGACAGTGAGAGAGAGATAGACAGAAAAAGAGATAGAGAAAGAGAGAGAGAGAGAGAGAGAGAGAGGGATGAAGAGATAGAAAAAGAGGAAGAAACAAAAGATGAGCGAGAGATAGACAAAAAGAGAGAGAAATAAAAAGAGAAGAGTGCTGATAGAGAGAGAGACAGAGAGAGAAAGAGATAGAGACAGAGAGAGAAAGAGATAGAGACAGAGACAGAGAGAAACAAATATTTTCGCAACCAATTTTTTTTTTGCAGATTAAAGGAAAATTCAAACCCTCTATCTTCTCTCTCTCAGATTAAGGTTTGCTCACTGTTTTGAAACAGTGTTGTGAAATTAAGGCTCTACAAACCTGAAAGGAAATGAAAAAAAATGGGGGGAAAAGGCAGAGGGAAAAAAGTGAGGAAATTAAGTTTGGGTGGACAGTCCGGTGAGTCAGTGAAAAATGAGGGGAAATTAGTTTTATTGTTATTTTATTGAATTTTTTTTTATTTGATAGAAGTAGGGGTAATATTTTAATGAAAAATATTTTTCGTTAAAATAAAGTTAATTTTTTATGGTCGATGAAAAATATTTTTTGTGACCCATTTTTTTTTTTTTTTAGTTACTAAAAATCAAGAGCTAATTTTTTGTGGTAGAGGAGAGGAAGCGGTAGTAGTAGTGAAGGTGGTGGATAAAAGGTGAGGTGTTGGTGGTGGTAGTGGTGACGGCGAAGGAGATTAGTGGTGAAATTATGGTAATGGTGGAGGAGATGGAGTGGCGGTGGTGGAGGAAAGGTAATAGTAGTAGTAGTAGTAGTGGTAGCAGTGGTGGTAGTGGTAGTGGCAGTGAAATGGTACTAGTAGTGGTAGTAATGGTAGTCGTAGAGATGGAGTGGCAACAATGGTAATAATGGTGGTAGTGGAATGACATTTGCAGTAGTGGTGAATGTGGTAGAGGAGATGGGTGGTGAGAGAGAGATGGGTGAGAGACAGATAGAGAAGAGAGATAGAGAGAGAGAGACAGAGTGATGAGCGAGAGAGAGAGAGAGACAAAATGGTCGCTAAAAGTGCATTTTCTTGTAGTAGAGAGCTCGGTAAATAGAAAAGATGGGAGGGAGAGAGTAGGCAAGATGAACACAATGGGGGAGAGAGACAGATAGACACACAGAGAGAAATAAAGAGAGAAGGGTGATGAGTGAGAGAGAACAGACAGACACACAAAGAGAAAGAGAGAGAGAAGAGTAATGAGTGAGAGAGAGAAAGAGATATATATAGAGGGGGAGAGAAAAAGAGATAGAGAGACAGACAGACAGACAGAGAGATGAGTGAGTGAGTGAGTGAGTGAGTGAGAGAGAGAGAGAGACAAAGTGGTCGCTAAAAGTGCATTTTCTTGTAGTGAAGAGCTCGGTAAATAGAGAAGAGGGGAAGGAGAGAGCGAGCAAAGTGAATACAATAGGGGAGAGAGACAGACAGACAGAGACACAGAGAGAAAGAGAGAGAGAAGAGTGAGAGACAGACATAGAGAGAGAAAGTGAGAAAGAAGAGTGATGAGTAAGAGAGAGACAGAGAGAGAAAGAGATAGAGACATAGACAGAAAGAAATAAGAGATGAGTTAGAGATAGACAAAGAGAGAGAGAAAGAGAGCGAAAAGAGATGATCGAGAGAAAGACATAGAAAAAGAGAGAGATAGAAAGAGAAGAAAGATGAGCATGAAAGACAGAGAGAGAGAGAGAAGATAGAGAGATGAACGAGAGAGACAGAGAAAGAGGTAGAAAGAAGAGATATGAGCGAGAGAGACAGAGAGAGAGATAGAGAGAAAAGAGATGAACGAGAGAGACAAAGAGAGAAGAGAGATGAGACAGAGCGAGAGAGCTCAAGAATAAAGATGAACAAGATAGATAGAGAGAAGAGAGATGAACGAAAGAGACAAAGAGAGAAGAGAGATAGAGAGAGAAGAGAGATAAAGAGAGAGAGAGAAAGAGACAAAGACAGAGGCAGAGACAGAGTAGGAAAGAGAAAGAGACAGAGAGAAACAAGAGATGAATAGGAGATAAACAAAGAGAGCGAAAAGAGATGATCAAGAGAAATATATAGAAAAAGAAAGAGGTAAAGAGAGAAGAAAGATGAGTAGGAAAGACAGAGAGTGAGATAGAAAGAAGATAGATGAATAAGAGAGATAGAGAAAGAAAAAAGATGAGAGAGATAGAGCGAAGAGAGATGAGCGAAAGACAAAGAGAAAAAGAGACAAAGACAGACAGATAGAGAAGAGTGATGAGTAAGAGAGAGAAAAAGAAGAGAGACAAAGAGAGAGAGAGACAAAGAGAGAAAGAGATAGAGAGTGAAAGTGAGAAAAAGAGACAGAAAGAGAATAGAGATGAACGAGATAGACAAAGAGAGAGAGATAGAGATAAGAGAGATGAGCGAGAGAGACATAGAGAGAAGAGAGATGAACGAGAGAGACAGAGAGTGAGAGATAGAAATAAGAGAGAGATGAACAATAGAGACAGAGAGAAAAGAGAGATGAGAGAGAGTGAGAGAAGAGAGATGAGCAAGAGAGATAGAGACAACAGAGATGAACGAAAGAGATAGAGAGAGATAGAGAAATGAGAGAAGAGATAAATGAGTGAGAGACACAGAGAGAGAGAGACAGACAGATAGACAGAGAAAAGTGATGAGTAAGAGAGAGAAAGAGAATAGAGAGAGGAAGATAAAAAAATAGGTGAAAAGAGACAGACAAAGAGAGAGA